GTAAACTTGCACTTGCCTTAACCCATTCTCTTGGCAGCTTATTACTTCATGACCGGGGGTAGCGACTTCTCACCCTGTAAAACAAAGTAATATTAGATCCAATAGTTACAGCGACCGTTTACAAGATTTACTAAAACTTGAACATGGTCTACAACAATGAAAAACTATATTGTTAATTATTGCATGAGAACAAGGAACCTTTCGCACCACCCTGTACAGCCACACACACACATATATATATATATATATATATATATATATATATATATATATATATATATATATATATATATATATATATATATATATATATATATATATATATATATATATATATATATATACTCATCCATCTTATTTTCATTCCTGTAAAGCTAAAAGTTCTCCCTCCATTTTCGAGATAAAACACAACAGAAAAAACCTACTTTACTCCACCACAACAACACAATTTTCGGTTTCATTTCGGGGGACAAAAACCCACATTACACCGTGGCTTCATTTTCAAAACAAAATCAGTGTAATTTGCAGCTCCATTACATCGGCAAAACTGAACAATGTCCGAGTCCACTTTGGCCTCGAAACCCCACCACAATATTTAAGTCTGATTTTCTAACAGAATTGCAAAATGATGGCAATATTCCGCTGGGTCTCCTGACAAGAGGAGATATATAGATAGGAATATGTCTGTCTGTTTGTCTGTGTGTCTGTCTGTGTCTGTCTGTCAGCGAGCACATCTACTGAACGGTGACTCGACGGATCCTTTACAAAAAATAACCAAAAGATTCAAACACTTTACTAATAACAATACACAATCTCATATAAATTTCGATAACAAATGTGAAAAATGGCTGAATTTTTTCCACACACACACACACACACACACACACACATACATGCTCGTATCAACTAAGAAAGCCATGAAAGGTCTTTAACCTCCTCCAAGTGCCAGCCCAAAGATCTCTACCATGACCCATACAACAGCACTGACCAACAACACCTCACATTTCAACAATATATTTTCTCAACCTCTTAAGATTAATATCCCTCACTTAATTCCTCTCTAACGTCATTTAATACTATCTTTACCTTGATCCTTTGCTCTTCTCATTACACATTTACCAACAAAACTCATTGTTCTTCCTAACTACAGTACATCATCTGTTTTGTTTTCCTCCCTGAATCTGTTCCGTTGCTCATAACCTAACCTAACCCAATCATGCTATTTGCGGGCAAGGATAAAAAGACAGACACAGACAGACAGACAGACTTATTGGGGTCAGTCCATGGTTCCCTCCACACACACACACCTTAACTCAGCCACCACCACCCCCTTTCTCCTGCCCTGAAAATACCGCCAGCTGATTCTTCCAGATGTACGATGATAATGAGCACTTAGCGTCACCAGCTTTTTCTCTCCGCTGAAAAATTGTATCGTTACCGTATGGCTTGTGTTGTTGAGGTTATGGGGAGGGGGGAGGGGAGACCACCTACCGACCGACCTACCTACAAATCTCTTTCTCTCTCTACTTAAACTTTCTTCCAATTCCTTTACTGTTCTCTCTCTCTCTCTCTCTCTCTCTCTTTGTCTTACTTCCCCAGTTGGTATGGGGGGGAGGAGAGGGGGGTAATACTCAAGGGGCAGCTGGTATGAAGGGTAATACTCAAAGGACAGCTGGTATGAAGGGTAATACTCAAAGGACAGCTGGTATGGGGGGTAATACTGAAGGGGCAGCTGGTATGAAGGGTAATACTCAAGGGGCAGCTGGTATGAAGGGTAATACTCAAGGGGCAGCTGGTATGAAGGGTAATACTCAAGGGGCAGCTGGTATGAAGGGTAATACTCAAGGGGCAGCTGGTATGAAGGGTAATACTCAAGGACAGCTGGTATGGGGGGTAATACTGAAGGGGCAGCTGGTATGAAGGGTAATACTCAAGGGGCAGCTGGTATGAAGGGTAATACTCAAGGGGCAGCTGGTATGAAGGGTAATACTCAAGGGGCAGCTGGTATGAAGGGTAATACTCAAGGGGCAGCTGGTATGAAGGGTAATACTCAAGGGGCAGCTGGTATGAAGGGGTTGAACAATCACCCCTCTGTAGGCGTGGTGAACGGAAATAAAGTCACAGGTAAAAAAGTCACATGACTTGTACACATTGACAACACAATATATATATGATGGCATTGCACGTAGGTTAGGTTTTTTCCGTGCCTTTTTTGTATTAATCTGCAATTAATTTTATTACCGGTAATTGTTGGAATAATAATAATGAGAGACATTATTATTATATTTTCGCCCCCCAGGCCCTGATGTGGGTCAGTGTGCCTGGGTGGGCTAATCCCCGTAAAAAAAAGAGTTTTGAAAGAGTAAACATGATTGGAGGAGAGAGAGAGACGCGGCATATCACTCACTCGCCATAACAAGAGTACAAAATTAAACGTGAAAACAAAACACAAGATGAGCGCAGTACACATAGCGAGGATGGCGCTCCTTACTCCCTGCCTACCCTTTTAAATAACTCCACAGTGTCACAACAGAGCATTAGCATGTAGATTACATTTTATATCTGACCGCATGCTAATGTACGATTTTATAAACCTTCACTAATTTGCATATATACACACCTGTACGAGCGTCCTTGTGGGTGATACAGCTTTGTAACGGAGGGAGAGAGAGAGAGAGAGAGTTTTGCCCATCAATCACACCTTCATCATTATGACAGCTTGAAGAAATTCCTAAACATTAAATTACCAGCGTGTGTTATTAACCAACCCGAGACAAAAAATATATACTGGTATACATACATAACATACATGTACCTGTATATATATATTTGTAAAGCCCATCAAACGCATTTACTCTCAAAGGTATATTGTACACGAGAGGCATTACATGTACGTTCGTTAAGCAAATGATCCGATTTGGTGGGTGGCGGACGCAGGGACGGTAAAAACGTATAAACATTAAACTCACTTCCGTTTTGTTTAAAAGTTGGAGATCCGCTATTAACTGCACCACCCTGTGTTATTATTAGTATTAATTATCAGTATTATATAGAATTCTATTTCGAATTTAAGTCTGTAAAAAAAGATGGTTTCTAATGCTTACACAAATACACGAGCGGCCTTGAGAGTACCAGCTCCCCAGTTGAACTTTATAGCATCATTTCTTATCTTGCCCCCTACCCCTTTCCCCCTTCTGGTACTCTTGACTTACAAATCTCATGTCCTCTCCCTCGCACCTCCCCTCCCCCCCCCTCTTCCGCCTCCTGCTTCTGACTAGACTGCTGTGGTTTCCTTTGCAGTTTTGTTTTCACGATTTTTTTTTATAGTATGAAGAAGAAAGAAGAAGGAAAATAAAAAGAAAGAAGAAAGGGAAATTAGAAGAAGAGATATAGAAAAAATGAAAAATACAAAGAGGAAGAAATGAGAAGAAAATAAGAAAAGGGAAGAGACAACGAAGAGTGAAGATGAGAAGAGATTGAACAATGAGAAAGAATAAAAAAAGTTAAGAGGAGAAATACGTGATGTAATGTGGTGGGGATGAATCTTCAGGTGAAATACGCAGGTAGGGGGGGGGGATCTTCAGGTGATCGGAATCGCAATACAGGTGATATGATATGACTGTCCATTATCAGTAACAATATTGAGGGGGTCAACTAGTTCAAACACTGAGGTCTGCACTTGACCCGTTCAGTAACACACACACACACAAATTCACTATCACACTCTCTCACCACCACCACCACCATAACCTTTATCATCACATCCTTTACCACCTTCACCACAATCACCACATTTAATCACCACTACTACCTCACACAATCACACCAAGATGACAACTAAGCAGGGAGCCCAAACTCCCAACAACTTTTTTCCGCCAAAACTGTAAATGCAAAGACTGCCAACTGCCTCACGTAAGTTACACCACAAAAATGACGGCGAAAATGGTTCATAAATTGCACCAAGACTCTACCTAAACAATGCGTGGTCTCTAGGGGGGAAATGTTACCAGACATGTCTTGGTGAGCCGGGAAGCAATTTCGTAATACAATTTCAGACGTAACGAGCCAATCACTACCGGGCTGTTCTTCAGACTCAACCTTAATCAAATTATCGATAGACCGGTTGACAGTATATCTATTCCTCAAATTTATTTTCCTTCAAACGAAAATGCTGAGTATTGTAAATCTGTAATACTGTATACAACAATTTGTGTATATACTTGGAATTCACTTTTAAATGTCCACTATCAGTTACCGTAATGATCTCTGAAAGTAAGTTTACATAACCTAACCTAACCGAGTTTGACCTAAACTACTCTAGCCAAACCAAGCCTAGACGAACCTATCTTAACCTAACCTTACCCAACATAACCTAACCTAGACCAAATGGGAATAGTAACCATTTCAGGAGTAGACACAATGCGAAGGATCCTACACAGGCCACCTTCCCTCGGCATGGCCACTACTTAGTTTGGGTGGTCATAGGGTAAATACGGTAAAAAAAAAGAAGTAAATGTACCACACCCACGTGACTGTTGCTGTGCTGTATAGGACCTGACGTTGTGAGACACCTTTAGTAACATCTAAATATTGCAGTAGACGTGAACTAAACAAATATAACCAACTCATGGTGTAGATAAGAGGTTGTTTAAGTCAAATGTGTTGTGAACGTATTATTACAAATGAGATAAATAGCCAAGTCAAACATGTAACCGGTTATTCAGTCTTTATCGTACGTCTGGCGACAGTGCGCATCGTATACACAAACATGATCTGCACGGGTGACGTATCAACGCTTACTCTCGTACTGTACCATACATTTTTCGCAGTTACCATTACGGCAATGCAAATAAATATCATACCAAACATTAGTTCTCGTATTATAGTTCCTCTACACACACATTGCGAATCATAAAACAGAAATGGTTATTACAAAAGCCTGTCGATTACTGAGACCACCAGCACAACTTAGCAATCATTTCTTGGCAGCGAGGCATCACCCCGTCAGTGCTCGGGACGCTCAGCTATGTGGCCATTTTCTAGATTGAGTGCTGTAATTGTATTTGTGACATTCGCACACTTGTTATTCTTCCCACTGTCATAATTTACAGACTGACCAACAACAGGTATGTTTCTGACATGTCTTCAGTGGTACATTTGTTATATTTCCTGTGGTGCAACAGATGGATAAAGCAAATGTTTTTATTGCCGATACCTTGTGGGACACAGTGTGGGGGTGACCTTCAGTAAAGTGCCATCACTATCTGGCTGTGCATTTTACTTTATAAACGGTATACCATCAGAAGCTCTGTCCCACAACTCTGCGTGTGTATATGGCAAAGGGTGAGTGTGATAATGTACAGCACATACACCTTCCCCACCCTACTTCCATGGAGAACTGTAGGTTTGCTAGGTCTCAGATGTACCAAACACTGCCACCTGATGATGGTGAAGTTCTTAAGAGAAGTTCTCCGAATGGTGATGTGTAAATTCGTCATATAACTTCACATTGGTTAAGCATGATAAGTGACTGCAGGAACTGTTCACAAATAATTCCAAATCAATTATTTTAACCGAGTCCCTCGCCCTATTTATTAAGAGACGTAAACTTTAATAGCTGCCCTGATAATACGAAATAAGAGAAAGGGGTTATTAACACAAGTACAGTATTTGAACACCTAAATGAGATTAGATTGAATAATGGATATAAAATTTTATTGTTAAACTTGTCATTAAGTTCCCATACCATTACTATGATTATGAACAGTGCAGACATACAAAACACAGTATGCATTATATAGATTCAATCAAAGACAGCCGTTAGAGGCTACTAACCAGTAAGTTTATAAGAGATGAAGAAAAATAAAGGCACCTCAAAATCTTAGCGAAGTCAGCCGTAATTGTTAACAAAGAAAACGAATCACTGCTCACCGTTTTCTCTTATATCCTTCGTACCATTACTCCGTTCTTGGACTGGTTTTCTTTCTTAACACATTTTATGAGTGTCTGTGTTAGTTATTCAGCCACGCTGTGTCACATCCCATATACTGTACGTACCAACACACACACCATGGTGGCTCCCGTCCGATCCCCGCTTGAATGGAATGTGTAGTGCAACTCTACCAGGTCCCCGAGGTCAGGTATCTTCGTGGACTCCCATCGGGTTACAGAATAAATATAAATCATTACTACACAGACGACAAGAAACACACACTCAACAATTATGTATATATATATATATATATATATATATATATATATATATATATATATATATATATATATATATATATATATATACTGCTATTAACCACAGCACCTAAAAGCTTTCCTACAACAACAACTTAGCCTCCTCGATCAAATTCACTGTGGAATTAGAGCAAGACTGTAAATTGCCATTCTAGACTGTCTGATACACAGAATAGGTAACACTTTTAAGTTCAGTATTTATAGAAAACCAACTAATGTGTGTTCATACATTCATTATTATTCTACCCACCATAATAAAGTCAAACAGTCAGTATTTTCAACAACGTTTTACGTGCCTTGAGAATTTGCAGTCCAGAATTCATCGATGAGGAATACAAATATATATATAATATTGGCTCAAACCTTAAATACCCTAGATCTTTCATAGACAAATGTAAACATTACAAAAGAAAACTTTTATAGAACTGACCCCAAGCCCACCCATGACCATAAGAATATCTTAATATTACCATTTCACAAAATTTCTCACACATTCCTGCACAGCTAAAACCTGGAACGTCAATGTGGCATTTAAAAACTCATGCACTGTTAAACAAATGTTAATCAAGAACTCCCAACAACACAATTGGTTGCATTTATAAAGTTCCTTGCAAGGAATGTAATATGTTTCTTAGGCCAGACAGGTAAAGATCTTGCAGCTAAAGATTAAACAACACAAATACAGTGTTAGGACAGGCCAGGAATCCAATGCTCTGTTTGTTCATTTGAGGATAACAAGCATTGCATTGACTGGGATAATGCCTCCTCAATATTACCATGTAATTCAATTGATAGTAGAAACATCATAGAATCTAGTCTTATTAAACATACCGAAGCATCCAACATATTTGAGTAACGGCATATACAAGCTGGACAATTTTGTAATTAAGAAGATTTGTGATCAGGTGAGAAGGCCGGGTCATGACCATCTGACCCTGACCACCAACCGTTGTGTGCTATTTAAAGATTAGTAAGGTCATTACCTAATACCTGACCATTGTGGACCTGGTCTCACCCTCCTCTATATATACACCTTGATTTGTATTACTCTCTCTAGTCTGTACTCACCCCTGAAGATGTGAATTACACAAAGCGCTTGGGAACTTCGTGTTTCTTCTTCCTTGTGGTTATCAGCATATACCTAGATCACGCGCACCTACAGTGATTTACTTGCATATATATATATATATATATATATATATATATATATAATATATATATATATATATATATATATATATATATATATATATATATATATATATATATATATATATATATTTCATGTAAATCCACAATGAAAACGTGGATAAGATAAATCTTGATAAAATCACACGGAAAATGGAAACAACGGAGCTCGTTGTCCATTTTCCCCGTGTGATGTATATATATATATATATATATATATACACACACACACCACGCATATACATGACACACACACCCAACGCATATACATCCTTGACCACCGAAGGACACTACATCCTTGACCAGCGAAGGGTCGAGGCGTGCCTGGCGCTCCTCTCGGGCCAGCCAGGTCAACTGTTGGCCCATACCACCCCCTGAACCCTCCTCCCCACCGGAATATCAACATGTTCTCGCCAGAAGTTGCTGTTTCATTTAGGTAAGGAATGGAACCAGTGTTAAACAGAGGTGAACAGTGGTGAACGGTGCTAAGTCAGTGAGAACAACTCAACAGTAACAGTCGTACCCAAGTTAACCTTCACACAGTGAGGTCCCAGGTACCCAGTGATAACGGCCCGTGAGACCCAACAACCAGCGATGTGTTAATCCGTCTCGATAGGAAGGCCTGGAACCACACCATATAACACCATCTGTGAGGAATTACTACACCACTTGAGGCCCTCATAACACATCTGTAGGGAATTACTACACGTGAGGCCTCATAACACCATCTGTGAGGAATTACTACACCAGTGGGCCCTCATAACACCATATGTGAAGGAGTTACTACACCGTGAGCCCCTCATAACACCATCTGTGAGGGAATTACTACACCACGTCAGGCCCCTCATAACACCATATGTGAAGGAGTTACTACCACGTGAGGCCCCTCATAACATCTGTGAGGGTATTACTACACCACTTGAGGGCCCCTCATAACACCATCTGTGAGGGAATTACTACACCACGTGAGGCCCCTCATAACACCATCTGTGAGGGAATTACTACACCACGTGAGGCCCTCATAACACCATCTGTGAGGTTACTACACCGTGAGGCCCCTCATAACACCATCTGTGAGGAATTACTACACCACGTGAGGCCCCTCATAACACCATATGTGAAGGAGTTACTACACCACGTGAGGCCCCTCATAACACCATCTGTGAGGGAATTACTACACCACGTCAGGCCTCATAACACCATATGTGAAGGTTACTACACACCGTGAGGCCTCCTCCATGAGGGAATTACTACACCACGTGAGGCCCCTCATAACACCATCTGTGAGGTACTACCACGTGAGCCTCATAACACCATCTGTGAGGAATTACTACCACGTGAGGCCTCATAACACCATATGTGAGGGAATTACTACACCACGTCAAGTCCCTCATCACACCATCTGTGAGGGAATTACCACACCACGTGAGGTCCCTCATAACACCATCTGTGAGGGAATTATTACACCACGTCAGGCCCCTCATAACACCATCTGTGAGGGAATTACTACACCACGTGATGCCCCTCATAACACCATCTTTGAGGGAGTTACTACACCACGTGAGGCCCCTCATAACACCATCTGTGAGGAATTACTACACCACGTGAGGCCCCTCATAACACCATCTGTGAGGGAATTACTACACCACGTGAGGCCCCTCATAACACCATCTGTGAGGGAATTACTACACCACGTGAGGCCCCTCATAACACCATCTGTGAGGGAATTACTACACCACGTGAGGCCCCTCATAACACCATCTGTGAGGGATTTACTACACCACGTGAAGCCCCTCATAACACCATCTGTGAGGGAATTACTACACCACGTGAGGCCCCTCATAACACCATCTGTGAGGTCCCTCCTAACACCATCTGGGAGGGAGTTACTACACTACGTTTTTGCTGTTCAACACCTACAATAATCTGTATGTTCACTGTATGTTCCTTTACCTTTCTCTAATGAAGGCTTTTGTTAAACCACCTATGTATGTAATAAGTCATTTATGTCCAATGTATATTTTCAGCCTTCGGGCTGCAGAACTTTTTCAATAAACCGTCAATTATTATTATTATACACAATTCTCCTCAGGCTACAAGACTTAATGTAGGTACACTCGCCCCAAAAGGTAGTATATGGAGGGGACCGATGACTTTCAAATTGAACACTGCGACTCCTGTTGTCTTAGCAGGGTTATCAAAATCCTTCGTCCGTTGTGTCAAATTGTCTTGCACAAAAGTTTAAGGACACATGGCATGACATAGGTACACATGGTATGATGTAGGTAGACATGGCATAGGTATATATGGCATGACATAAGTACACATGACATGGCATAGGTATACATGGTATGACACAGGTACACATGACATGGCATAGGTACACATGGTATGACAAGTACACACGGCATGACATCGGTACACATGGCATGAAATCGGTACACATGGCATGACATAGGTATATAGTACATGGTATGGCATAGAAACATGAAGGAATAATCGGACAAAGTATTGAATAAGTCACAGAGAAGGCATAGTATAAGTCACAGAGAACATAAGAACATAAGAAAATAAGGAGTCTGCAATAGGCCGGTTGGCCTGTGCAGGGCAGCTCCTGTCGAGAGTTACTACCACTCTTTATCATCCATGAATCTATCTAGACTCCTTTTGAAACTTTCCAGAGTTCCCTCACTTACTACAAAGCTGCTAAGCTTGTTCCACTCGTCCACCACCCTATTTGTGAACCAGTTTCTTCCTATCTCCCTCTTAAACTGAAACTTATCCAACTTGAATCCGTTGCTCCGAGTCCTATCCTGCTCGGATATTATAAGAACTTTATCTATATCCCCTTTATTGATTCCTTTCACCCACTTAAATACTTCTATCATATCTCCCCGCACTCTTCGTCTTTCTAGGGAATGCAAGTTAAGTTTCTTTAACCTATCCTGATATGGAAGGTTTCTAAGTCCCGGAATCATTTTTGTCATTCTTCGCTGCACCGACTCTAGTGAATTTATATCCATTCTATAATAGGGGCACCAGAACTGAACCGCATAATCGAGGTGCAGCCTAACTAGCGCAAGATATAGTTGCAATAAGACCTCTGCACTCTTGTTACTTACACTTCTAGATATAAAACCCAATACTCTGTTTGCCTTATTTCGAACATTAACGCACTGTTTTCTAGGCCGTAGGTCCGGGCTTACAAGTACCCCTAGGTCTCTTTCACAAGTCGACTTCTCTAGGTTGATGTTGTTAAGGCTGTATACATTATCAGTATTTGTACTTCCAATATTAAGTACACTGCACTTGCTGGTGTTGAATTTCATTTGCCATTTTTCAGACCACCCCTGCAGTTTATTTAGATCTTCCTGTAATGCATTTGCATCCTGCACCTGAATTAATCTGCCACCGTATTTTGGTGTCATCCGCAAACTTGCTTATGTCACTGCTGATCCCAGTATCTAGATCGTTTATGTAGATTATGAACAAGAGTGGGCCTAGTACTGACCCCTGGGGAACCCCACTGGTTACACGGCCCCACTCAGATTTAACACCATCTACGCTGACCCTCTACGTTCTATCGGTGAGCCATGATTTTATCCAATTTAAAACTTTCCCCTCCATACCATGAGCCTTAATTTTTCTCAGAAGCCTCTGATGCGGTACTCTGTCAAATGCTTTGCTAAAGTCTAAGTAAATAACATCGTAATTTTCATCATTATCTACTACCTCGAAGACTTTCCTAAAAAACGTCAGCAGATTTGTTAGACAAGATTTTCCCTTCGTAAACCCATGTTGAGAGTCGTATATTAATTTGCTTTTCTCTAGATGCGATCGGATGCTATCTGCTATAATTGATTCACGAAATTTCCCCACTACTGACGTCAAACTGATCGGCCGATAATTTGACGCTGATGCTCTGTCTCTCTTTTTGAATATGGGTACTACATTTGCCTGTTTCCACAAGTAAGATTAAAAAAGAAAAAGAAAAAAAAGTTCAATGCAGTACACAACACGGCGTTATGACCATTAAAAGCCAATTTTAATGAATAAATGGTGAAAGTAAAGGTTGCATTGTGATGAACTAAGATTAGCAGCATTAATGAAGATATATGTACAGGACATGTATAAAGAGGTAAATGGGTAATGGATATTATTCACATAACACAGCTCCGTCAGATGTCTCAATGCACGTAAATCTATGTATAATGAAGTTTAAATCCTAGAGTTTGGTTCCGAGTTCAAACGAGTAGTATTGTATATTCATCTCATCAATGCACGTGACGTCAATGTCCTGAGCCTTATTTAATATTTATTAGGAAGATACCTAATACTGTACAGTAATTATAGTCATTTAACTAAAGAATTTCAAGTACAGTACTAAATTGAAGTGGTGTTAAAATATGTAATTCAACATACTAAACATAACATGGAGGTTAAATTGAGTGAGAATTTACCTTAATGTTCTATAGAATAATCAATAATGTTAAAATTTATTCTCAGGTTAAGTTAATTTGAAAGTGGTATTTTGGAGGTGAAAGTGGCTTTACTCTCAACGTACATTACACATTTAATAGATGATATTTCCTGGATTACGATATTTACATGTTTTAAGATACAGTAGCAGTTTTGCCCCGAAGAGGCATGGATTTCAACCCCTTGAAAATTTGCAAATACTACTGTACTATAAGTCAAGGGTTGTGTATGGGTAGTTGGTATACATTTACTTGATCATGAATATGGAAATTCGGGAAGCAAGAAAATGTGAATATCGAAGTTCTACTGTGCTAAGATAATACTACAATTTCACTTCTAAAATTCATAACACAGTACAGTACTTGTAGTTTGAATTGTGTGACTGACATACTGTTGTACCCCACACAGGAGATTCTTCTGCTGCCAATACCACAGCCAGCCGCCCACACCCACACTCTCCAAGACAAGGCTTCGCCATGTGGTCGATGTGGGCGGAAAATCCACCCCCTGAGAATCAAGATGGAGAGAAAATTCATGGCAGGTGGTATGTGATGCAGATGAAGACATACGACCATATACAAGCCATCATGGAAATATTTGATGGCTGGTCCCATAATGTCGACCTAAGCCAAGACCCCCTAAGACACTGGAACCCAACTTTAACATTCGGAATGACGGTACAAAGCATGACCCAAGACCACAACTACTACTTGATCCTGAAGAATGTGTCAGACCACATTACAAAGGTGAGTCTTGTAAACTGCATCAACAATATGATAAGTGAATGTAAATTAGAGCTCCACATGGGCTGGGTGAGGTGGCTTACTGGAGATGACCAAGACATCCAGGTCAACATGCAGCTAACAAGTCTTCCTCTACTCCTCACTGAAACAAACTGGAAAAAAAGTGAAGCCTTAGTTACACCAGTGAATCCACCATGGACAAAGAAGACCTATGATTTAGTGTTAGACAGTTCTCTAATCATAACAGAGGAAGACAATTTGTTGGCATCTTGCATCGAGGACGCATCTGCACGTGAATTCACCTTCAGGACTCCAACAGGCAAGACTCCCAAGCCTCTAAAACTAATGCAGACTGTTCATATGCGAGACATATTCACCACACCTAAAAAAGTAGAACCACTTGAAGAAGAGTTCCAACACCTAGATCCATCACCTAGACCATTTAGCCCTAGTCTCTTCAGCTCTAATGATATACAAGGTAAGTTAATTTATAGTCTATGGCACATTACGTGATTTATTTTCTGACAAAGTGGGTAATAATATTGATTAATCAGTTAATCTATCAAATTTAATTTTCAAATATGAATTAAAATTTTAATTTAACTATTCACAGAGGGGTCTTCTGACTATGCACCACTGCCTGTAAGAGACCAAAGTGAAACTGAGGTTGATGCTGCTGCTACCCAACAGCCAACATTATACTCCCAGACTGTTGGGGACGAGGCCACACCTGAGACATTGTGGTCAGTGTCAACAAATAATGTAATTCCCGAAAGCAAAAATGGACACCAAATTCATGGAAGGTGGTTCATTTTACAGATGCAGATTTATGACTCATTAGAAGCAGTCATAGATGAAGTTACATGTTGGTCCAGAAGCATCAACCTGAGACAAGAATTCCTGAGGAACTGGAATCCAAGATTAACTCTAGGGACTACTACAGAGAGTACAAATGAGGGCTGTAACTATTATTTAATTCTGAAGAACGTGTCAAACCATGTCGCCAGGGAAAGTCTCATGAACTTTCTTGAAACTCTGCAAACCCAAAAAAGGATACGCATTAAAATGGGTTGGATAAAATGGCTAACTGGGTTAAAAGAAGACCATCAGGTGGATATATTTCGGAGAGGTCTGCATCTCCTTTTGCTGGGGAGTGATGTAAATCAAAGTAGGGCATCTATTTGGCCCATGAAAAAACCATGGATGGAGACACCAGCAGATATGTTTCTGGATATATCTCTGAAAACTAAAGGATCATTGACAGCAAACGCTATGATGCCAACACCATACCAGTCATCACCAAGAAAGACCTCCATTGCATCATCACCAAACAAAGTGCCCTTTGGAGAAGCTACAAGATCACCAAGTATAATGGACTCGAGTACCCAGAGAGTGACGATGACACAGGAGATGCAGGAGGTAAGGTTTTTTTTTCAGATGAAAAAATTGACGAGAGGTCACCTTGGGGGCTCTCCATCACAGAAGGTTAGTAGAAATTTATCACTGGTTTAAACTTCAATCATAGGAGATGAACTGTAGGGGTGCACCGGATAGTGAATTTACTATCCAGCCTCATACTGGACTTACCAGATACTGTAATTTAAAAAAATCTGGCCATACAGTATACTAGTAGTATGTATAGCCTACATCCGCAGTATTATAGTTTAATACGGTACTGTATCTTGGGTTGCTTACACTTATGTGCCTATCATGAAGTATTCTAGTTCACAAGCAATACTATTAACATTATCTCCTCCACCAGCATCACTAAAAGTTATGTTCTGCACCAGCCACACAAGTGAACTGTTTGACGTCCCTCCATAACTTACCATAAAACTTCACTGTGAAATCTTCTTCCACTTTCTATCATCGGTCGAACACCGACAGAAGCGCCAAAATCACATTTTGAGATAATCAATGTCAAACTTAGTGTACATTGTTTTTTATTAATACAGTTGGTCCTCACATTACGCGGTTAATGTAACCCAGAGGGTCCCGCGGAAAGTGAGGAACGCGGAAAGTGAATAACATAACATATGGGATTAATTGAAATGGAGTCCAGGCCGATCCCCAAACTCCACTTTTTGACGACACACAACTATGTTGTAGTAAAAATTTTATCTTAACTTTATGATGGTATGAAAAAACAAGTAATATAGAAGAGGTTAGGTTAGGAAAGATAAAGGTTAACATAGGAAAAATAAAGAATAGGTTAAAAAACTAAAAATTTTGTGGAACACTTACGGTAGTAGAAGAGATGGGTCGGCATACGGGGATGGAGGCTGGTTCCGAGGCAGAGGGCAGATTACTGGCCCTCAGGTGAATCACCATTACTAGGTGAATCATCATCACTGTCACTTACAGTTGTCAGGGCTTCCCTGACAAATCCCTCAAAGTCAACTTCACTGTCACTATCACTGGCTTGGGCTGGCTGTGGTGGGTTGCGGGTGAAGAAATCTGTTATGCTTTGCTGACGGCTGGCGTTGATGTTGTCGTGATACACCGTGATGTACGGCTCCATAGCCTGCACCAGCCGGTTATGGAAGACTTCATAGCGGTCATCGTCATTGTCGCGGGAAAGGACGGACTTAATTTTCTCTGCAAACTCCATGGCACACTTAATATCACTATGACTTAAACTGTGTTCTTCGGAGACTGACGCACCTTCTTCCTCCTCTTCACTGACGTGTTCTTCTTCCAACATCTCGTCGGCAGTCACTTCAGGATTTCTGATCACCTCCAGGATGTCGTCGTTGGTGGTCTCGGAGAAGCCTGGAACTGTAACAGTCTGCGCAGCTTCTCTGGCAAGGTCCACTGCTACTGCAACATTCTGAACCTCACCAGTCACAGATTGACTCCTCCTCTCACCTGGTATTCCATGCAACACATGTCTCCATGCGTGACGAATTGTAGCAATAGACAGCTGATCCCATGACTCCACCAAGATGTCCACAGCTTTCTTGATGTTAAATACTCTCCAGAATTGTTTGAAGAGTATTTTTTGCTGTTCTAACCGTTGTTCCTCATCTTCGTCGCTCTTGCTATCGGTGGTGGTGTCACTCAGGTCACGCAACTCTTCCCTGGTGTTGGTGTAGTCGTTCAGGAGCTGGAATTTTTTTGTTGAGAATGCAGCTTTCACATTGCAAATCAACTCCTGGTCCATGGGCTGTAATATAGACGTAGTGTTGGGAGGAAGGAAGACCACTTTTACGTTGGGGTGACGATCTAACAGTAGGGGCGAGTGTCCTGGTGCGTTGTCCAGCAGCAACAAAATATTAAATGGGACATTCTGTTGCTCACAGAATTTTTTTACATCGGGAACAAAACAGTCATCAAACCAGGAGAGGGACAGTGTAGAGAACATCCATGCCTTACGTGCTGTCAGCCAGTGGACATTTAGCTTGGTCATGTCCATGGTTTTGTAGGCGTGCGGCTTGCGGGCTGTGTGGATCACCGATAACTTGAGCTTACAGGTACCGGAGGCATTGGTGGCAAACAGGACGGTGATGCGTTCCTTCTGCATTTTCCGGCCCCGAATCCTGCTGGCATTCTTCACAATGTAGGACTTGGAAGGTAGTTTTCTCCAGAAAAGACCAGATTCGTCCATGTTAAACACCTGGTCGTCACTGTACTGTCCTTCCTCCATAATCTCACGTAAAAACGGAGGAAATTCCCGAGCCGCAGCACGATCAGCACTCGCTTCTTCACCACCAATGTTTATATTGGTGATCTTGTTCCGGATCTTAAACCTCTGTAACCACCCAGGAAGCAGTAAAGGGTTTGGGCTCTGAAGTTCCCATCTTTCGTGCCACTGCCATGTACAGTTCACGTGCGTAGTCCTTCACAGAGCGCGTGTCGACCGCCATGTTGCGTCGCGCCTGACGCACCAAGTACCTCACAAGTAATTTTTCTGTCTTGAGAAGCACCCGGTTGTGAAAATACTTGATCATAGAAGCACCTGTAGACTTTGTGATCTTCATGTGCTCCTTTATCTTGGCTGAATCCTTCTTTATAGTCCGGATCGTAGATTCGTTGACGCCATGCTGGCGCGCGAGATCAACTTGCCGTGTTCCTTTCTCCAAATCTTGAATAATTTGGTACTTCACCTCATAGCTTAAGGAACGTCGTGTCCTCTTTGGCTTAGTGCCGCTGGGTCCAGGTAAGGAAAGGTTTTTCTCTGGGGGTGGTGGTCCGGCGGAAGCCATTTTACGGAACAATGGATGCGCGATAACACGGAGTGGCCTTGAGGGATGAAACTGTCGCGGCTAGGTCAAGCGTCGTCTCTCCTCCCTCCCTCCCTGCCCCGGGTGGACACGTCATAATACTTTAAGCCAATTACAGCTAGCAGCAGAGGAGGGTAGGGATGCATGGCCAATCACAGGTCTGATACGTCATATGACGTCAGTGATAACGCAACAAAGACACACTGCGCAACCTTACCGCGCCGCTTGCCCAAGCGGAGGGAGGAGGAGGAGGGAGGAGGGAGAGGCAGGCAGGCGGGCAGGCGGGGTGGCGCGTGGGGCAAATCTAAAAATAGCGTCGCGCCGGACACTCTCCGTGGAATGGCGTTCGCGACCGCGAAATGTGAAAATGTTAGGTTCTGGCAAGGCACCGCGGTAACGGTGAAACGCGGATTGCGGGACCGCTTAATGTGAGGACCAACTGTACTTTATAACCAACCATACAACTTTAATGATTCTAGTGTAGTTTAATGTAGTTTTACAATATACTGCATGTACAGCTCCTCCCCGACTTACGACTACTCGCACTTACGACCTGCCTCAGTCATACCAAAATTTTGTCAAATTACGTACTTTCGAGTCCCAACGTCAGTACACAGAGAAAATTTTCGTTTGTAATTCACTTTAAAATAGCTGGCAAGCTTAAAAGTGAGAGTTTTGTGGTGCTGAGAAGAAAAAAAGACACCCATTTTAGATTTTCTATGTATTATTTAAGCGTTTTCAACTTACGACCTGGATTTTGGTCCCTAACCCCGTCGTAAGTTGGGGAGGAGCTGTATATTAAAAAACCTAAGGTAGCTCAAGTCTGAATAGTTATTAGATCACGTTTATCTTAGATGATCACATTAAAACATACAGCAAATGATCAATAATCATTCTTACAAATGTTAATGTAATAATCAGCAGCCCAGGAGAGGTGTGCATGGATGATAAGCACTAAATAGGCAGAAAATAGTGGAGAATTATTCATGCCATTTCCAATAGTAGCAGAGTTCTAACAAAAGCATTACCAGGTAGTTCCCCAGGCTGCTCATTGGTTGAGTGATGTCACGGCGTCTTGCGCCTCAAACTGGTCACGCTTTGTGGTGCTTATGTTGGGTGTTCAACCGGCCCTGCGACCTACATGCATCACATGCAGATTGCAAAAGGCCAAAATTTCTGTATATAACTAAAATTTTCCGTGCCCCAAACATGTACTGTATCTCCCCTCCCAGCCCGGGTAACATTACAGAGATTAACGAGGTCATTATGTTGGGACTAGAAGTGCACTTCTCCATGGTTGGTTGATACACCAGTGTTCCACCGAGTGCCTTGTATACAGTACAGTATGTACTTTATTAGATATATATACTATCCTACGTACAACATAAACACCTTTCACCAACATTAGCAAAGCATTACAGTACAGTATAAGCATAAGTTAACCAAATCACAAGCCAGCTGACCATGAAAAATTCAAGAAGATATTTCACTTCTTGGTACCTGCTTATGGAGAATACTCGAGCACACCACAACCAAATAAATCACTCGGCAATAATGTACCTCAGGCATTTATGACATCACAATTCAGACTTCATAAGCAAGGAAGTTCATTCAGATTGTATAGCTAGTGTCCACATCAGATGAACAATAGAAATGGTGAGCCATATAGATGATAACGATGATTCACCCAGCATCAGTATTAGATTAGATTTTCGAAGCGCAGGAATCCCAGATGATATCAAATCAGAATAAATGGTTGAAAACTGGGCAAGGAAAGGCTCCAGTGTTATCACCAGTACGAATGGACCTTTTAAGGCCTCACTACAATGTGTATCTGGAAACCAAAGTCAAAGTAAATCAATCTTGAATGAAATGTACCAGTATACAGTACATGCATTGTATTTGAAAGAACCCTACATTGTGGTGAAAAAGTTCCATGAACGTAGTTGTATTACTCCGTCAAAAATAAACGTACAGTACATATTAACTGAGGGCTGTCAATTTTTAATACACATCCCCAATCCCAAAATTTTAATTTTGGCTTTTGATGAGGACCTTCCACATAAAGTTTACCCAGAGTCCCCCACAATCTTATTCTGGCCCTCTTGGGTGGTAGATCAGGATAGTGACTTGGATAGGGATTTCCAAATTATTTTATCATCCTACTAATTTGAGATAGTGTATACTGTAAAACAAATTTTAAATCCACAACAACTATGTTTGTTGTAAAAGTTTTAATTTGCAGGTGGTGTGTGTCTGTGGTAGCCAAAAAAGGGTTCGAGAAAAATCAAAATTCTGCCAAGACTGCGGCACGAAGATTAGTACCCAGTGCCCAAGCTGCCAAGAGACCGTCCCCTTGAGGTACAAGTACTGTGACTCATGTGGATCATCACTAAATGGTAAGAGTCAGTCAGGTTGAGTTCTTTGGTACACAAGAGGTTAAGAGTTTACAACCATTTTTTCATGCATTATGGTAGTACGGTATAACAAGGACATATTCTTTCATACATTTTTTTTCACTGTATTTGATAAAGATTAGCAAGGTTGATTTTTGTATATAGTTAGTGATACAATTTAATACATGAAAATCATGATTCAATGAAGAAATAACTCCCCTGAGCTCATGCGTCATGGACATGCATTCTGGTTATGTTGTATACATTAGAAAGTAGTTGTTGTTACTGTGATTTGACAAAAGAACATTTTGATTAAATTAGATGATGATTATTATACATGAGTACATTCCTCGGTGACTACTGGACAAATGGAATGGTATTTATCTTGATTGATTTAACATGTTGGAAAAAGAATGTGCTGTACTGAGATCTAAACACTATTTCTTGTTTCAACAACACATTTAATATAGGAATGTAGGCTTACCTGTAAATGAATACAGGTACGAGGAATTGTGTGGAAAATTTCTGCTTTCGTATTGTTTCAGTCATTTCCTTTTGTTTTCTAAACTTGTTCTGCTCAGCTCTTCTGTCATTTCCTCTCTTCCTTAACTTTTTACTTATATCCTCTTCACCACTGATCGGCTCGGGCAGTCGGTCACGTCTCTGTTACACACTGTTGGCAAGTACTGGGTCCTGAATGTATCTGAACCCACTCCAGTGTTAGTCAAGTCTGGTCTTGAAACTGCTCACACTCGGTGCCGTCACAACACTCTCTAGCAGGTTGTTCCAAGAGTTCACAATTCTCACCCCGAAAAAGTTTGTCCTCACAGTTTTCTGGACTTGTGGCTTCTTTAACTGTGAGCTGTGACCCCTTGCAGGGCGGTTGTCCGCCAGCTCCAGGTATGGACACTCGACTGAGTAGTGCCCCTTGAGATGTTTATACACCTCAATTAGTCACCCCTTGCCAACCTGTAGCATAAACAAGACAGCTGCAGTCTGTTGGCCCTCCTTTGGACATTTTCAACCAACTGACAGTCCCTAGCATATCTCGAGGACCAGATGGGGTGACAGTACTCCATGCAGGGAAGCACCTTGGGGTTCGTTATACCCTGATTCACCCCACACGAAAGTGGGAGAGAAGTAAAGAGATAAACATATAAAAAAGTAGATACTGTACTGTATGTGGAACATGTTAATTTTGATGTTTAACATTCACTTTGGGATAATGAATGATTCACACACAAAGAAACCCCCATTGGCACATTTGCTTCTTGGGTAAATAGGAATTTTTCATGAAAGAAAGAGACTATTCAGAGATAGATTTAATTTACCTAGTATTTCGTCTAGGAACCCCGTACATTGATAATACAATGAGTTTCCGCAGCATGGAGGCCATCAACTCAGCTGTAGAATCTTGTCTGGCCAGCTCTCTGGTGGTTCTTGCTAGCTCCATTATCTTAATAATTTATTACCCAGAGCAATATGGTGGGTACTGACACACCAGTTCACCATGTAATTTTCCAAAAGCTTAGGCCCACACTGTGAAGAGTGATAATAGTCGTTCGCTATGCCTCTTTAATTTATCCTCTTCACCATTGATCAGCTCGTAAGTCGCTTGGGTGGTCGGAACTCTCCAAAGTTATTACCAAGATCACGACAGGAATTTACATAATTGACTCGGATGGTGTCCCAGTGACAGCAGCTTCGAGGAACAAAAAATTACTCTTTGTAATCAGCACAATTCGACCTTTCAAACAGGTGAATACGACTGAGGTTTTAAAAGTGGAGTTAGCATCTTTTGTAGTCGAGTTCATCATATGTTTCAAAACATAATTCGTATGTTTGTAACATCAAATATAAGGACAATTAGGTTTGGGATTGCACGAGCAATACATTGCAAACATTGACACTTGGCAATTTAAACATAAAATTCATTTAAAACTGGAACAAGAGTCTGAGTCTGCAGTGCACTTAATCAAATACAATTATAATATTGTACTGAATATGTTAACTATTTCATAGCAACCATCTTCCTTTTGCGTGTTATATTCCTATGTAACAATTCATCTTTGTTCATATGCTATATTTACAGTACGTATTCCTATTTGCCATTATATCTCCTTGGGTTGGATGTCACTAAATGTGTGTAAAACAATGGTTAACATAAAGAGAGCTACAAATATTTTTATATTATTAACATGTTCATTTTAAAATCAGGCATACCAACCCTTCTATTATGACAGGAGCTACAATATACTGCTCATTCTGAAATCCATTGGACCCAGCTGTAAAGAATCTTTGTGTGCTGTATGTACATACAGTACTGGATATCCCTGCATTCTAATTATCTTTACTCAGCACTGTAGGGTATTATATACAGGTATAGATAAAAAAAAGAAGAAGAAAATAAAGCAGAGCAGAAGGCAAGACCTTCTTCTCTTCTACCAGACTGACTTAAGACTAAATTACCATTCACCTCGAGGCTACTGACAGTTGCCAGATTAAATATAAATTAATTTTTACCCATTAATGGTCTTAAATAATTAATTATCATTTATACAATATGTGTACTCCATACTTGCTTTGTTGAGACAAGCACCTCAAGATGTGGTTGAGTGGTGGAAAGTGGATGTTTTATTTATATATATATATATATATATATATATATATATATATATATATATATATATATATATATATATATATATATATATATATATATATATATATATATATATATATATATATATATATATATATATATATATATATATATATTTGGCCTATTGCTATGCTAATTAGTTTGAGGGAAGTATATTTTATTAAGAAATTACTGTATCTATAGAGAAAATAAACCATAGCAAAAAGGAAATCCAACAGACTGGCAAACCTCAATTCATAGACCAGCATCAGTCCACAGACTGGGAACTACTGCTGTAAAGAACAGGGCACAGGTATCCATCGTTTAGCGATCAGGATGCATTCCTGAAAAACATATCGCTAAGTGAACAGAAAAAAAAAATAATATCCTAAACAAGAGATAATGAGGAATAATATCCAGGGAGAGGACACGTAATTGTGTAGCCGAGTCGCCGAATGGCCAACCAGTAGCACTCAGACCAGGTGAGGCTGAGCTGTGAGCTATGTTAGCATTCAACTCATAACTTTGGGTAGATACACAATCATTCATACAGAATGTGCAAAAAAAAAAAAAAGTTATCATTAGGCTGAAAACATAGGGAATACAGTCTGCAGTTAGCTGACAAGAGCAGAGGGGGAGGGAGGAACAATCACTTTAGTACAGGATACACAATATCACAATACTAGTAATGTATGCATGTTACTGCTGTACCACCTATAATCCCTTTTATACTGTATTACAATGGTAAACAAAGAATATATTACAAGCAAAAATTTTAGACCATTATTGTGGGATACAAATAGAGAATTAAAAGAATATTATATTGTACTGTTTGATATTCAAGTGAACAGGTCCCAGACTGAAAATTTTAATAAACTGTACATGTACTTTCATATCACATTAACAGGTGCACCGGACAACTTGCCAGCTCCCATTTCTACACACCAATCGTCAAATGAGCAGACACACAACCTTACCACTCGAGTCATCTTACAGAGTTCACTGTCAGCAACTGCTAATGGACACCACATGTTACAGTCTAGTCCAGTAAGCACACCCAATTGCTCATATCAAGCTAGCTGTTTAAATGTGCCCAGTGACCTTGAGGACATTAGTATATCAGCGGTAGTCTTGCAAGATGTGCTGAACTCACCAGAGGATGAAAAACTCCTGAATGAGATTAAACAGCAACATCAGGAAGAGACTGGACATAGTGTGGATTTTACAGTTACCTTAAATTGTCCACTGACAGTGAAGTGTAGTATTTGCAATGAAACTGTGGAACTAGGAAGGGCTGAAACAGTGCTTCCCAAATTACATTTTCACATTTCTAGCGAGACCCACAGGTTGAATGTATCTATACAGAATAATGAGGATCCAGTGACAGCAATGTTTGCTTTCATAGAGAAAACTTACAGAAATCAATTTGTGCTAAAGAAGTCAAATGCAATTTGCCGTGATGATAGTTGGCATATCAGTTTGTTGCCTGGACATACAGGGAATCCACGGAAGAAAATTGAGGAACACCTAAAGGGGAAAATACATTTAAATGCAAGACGCAAATGCAGAGGTATGAAAGACATTTCTGGTTATTTCACACCTAAAAAAAAATTGAGGTTTTCAGAATAACTTTCAACTGAAAATACAAAAAGTGTAACTTTAAGATGGAAAATGCTGCAACATTCAATCTTGGCAAATATCCACCATAACGACCCCAGGGGCTGATGTGATTTTCAGGGTTACAAAAGGTCAAAAGTCAAGGTCACATATTTGAAAAAGGCATCACCACTTGCCATGTTTATTTACTGCAAAGGTAAAAATAAAAAGAATTCCTGTACAATCTTCATACAGTACTTGGCATTATAAATTCACCATACAGAGACTTAAATGAGTTGTGTTATCATAGGTAAAAGTCCAAGATCAACACCCTGCATTTTAATATATAATAAGGGCAGTTCAGGTGGAGAATGATGTGAATAGAAATGTACAGTAGCTAAAATAACTATATCTGTGCAGGTGGGGGTCGATATGCTTCAAAATTTTACGTGTGACTTGCGACAGCCCTCGTATACCAAAATTTATCGTCCATGTTTTCACACAGTTTCCCACAAAGTATGCACAGATAGTTGTTTTAGCTATTGTACATACAGTACTGTACTAGTACAAAGATCTATTACAAGACCTGTACTGCTGATTAAGCCCAAAACTTGAAGTGTTTTAGTATTCTTCATAGGGCCAAGCAGAATTTCATAAAAAGAAAGACCGCTGCCCTGACTAATTCTCCCACTAGTAAATCCTGCTGGTCCTTAACTAAAAACACCTGTAATAACTTCACTCCTTCTTGTCCTCCTCTCTTCCGACCTGATAACTCTATAGCCAACTCTTCCCCCTGACAAAGCCAATCTCTTTGGGACCGTATTCTCCTCTAATTCCACCCCTGCTCCTCCTACTGAACCTATGCACTTTCCTATAATCTCCACTAGGAGGGTTGCTGGTGTGTTATCCAGGTTGGATGCGAGTAAGGCGCTTGGACTGGATGGAATACCCCCCTCATGTTCTGAGTGAGTGTGCTGAAGCTCTGGCTCCTGCGCTTACTCGCCTCTTTCGCCTTTGCCTCAAAACCCAAACCTTTCCTTCTTCTTGGAAGCATGCCTTGGTTCAGCCCATCCCAAAGAAGGGTGACCATTCTAATCCCTCTGGCTATCGCCCCAACTTCATCCCTCTCTACGATTTTCGCAACTATCTTGAACTCCCATTTTCTCCGTCACCTTGAACGCCTTTCTCTTTTGTCGGATCACCAGTATGGCTTTCACCAGGCAAGATCTACTGGTGATCTGCTCTCCTACTGCACCCATCTTTGGTCATCCTCTCTCATGGATTATGGGGAACTTTCGTCGTGGCCCTCGACATCTCCAAAGCATTTGACAGGGTATGGCACAAATCTTTGCTTTCTAAACTTCCCTCTTATGGTTTCTCACCCCCAATTTGTTTTCTAATCACTTGCTTCCTTGAGAACCGATCCATGGCAGATGTTGTCAAGGGATCAATCTCTCGCTCTTTCTCTACCAATATTGGTGTCCCACAGGGTTCTGTTCTTTTACCTACTCTCTTCTTTCTTTTTATCAATGATTTACATCCCACTACAACTGATTCTATCCATTCTGATGTTGATGATTCTTACTCTTCACATTTTCCTTCCCCTGACTCTCTAACTAGATCTGTTTCTAGAACTGATATCATTACATCTATCAATGCGGATTTGTGCAGCATCTCCGAATGAGGAGGTAGAAACTTGGTTAAATTCAATAGTAATAAAACTCGGTATTTACCAATTACACTTTCCAAATTAAATGATCTCCCACCAATCACATTTCAGGACGCTATCATTCTGCCAAATTCTAAAATAGATATGCTAGGCCTCACAATTTCCTCAAATATGTCATGAAAGCCACACATCCTCAACATTGCTAGAGTTGCCTCCCGAAAGTTGGGAATGCTGTACAGATGCCGTAGCTACTTCAGTCCTGAACAGTTGCTTCAAATATACTGTACGTATAAAGGATTCATTCGTCCTAACTTGGAGTACTGCTCTCATATCTGGGGTGGCTCTTCTTCTGTCCAACTGTTAGATAGGGTGGAATCAAAGGCATTTAAACTTATTAACTTTCCTCCTTTAGTTGACAATGTTTCTTCCCTTTCTCTTCGCTGCAATGTTGCTACACTCTCTCTCTTTTACAGGTACTTTAACGGGCAATGTTCAGTGGATTTGGCATTCTGTGTACCGCCGGCAAGGCCGTGGGCTAGTAACACACGTTTTGCCCACGGTGCCCACCGTTTCTCTGTGGATGTCGGTCACACTAGAATAACCTGTTATAGTACCTCCTTCTTTCCTCACACAGCCAAACAGTGGAATGCTCTGCCTTCTGTGTTTCCATACTCATACAATGTCTCATTTTAAAAAGCTGGTTTTCCGGCATCTTCGTCGTGTAGATTAATACTGTACCTTTTCCTTTTCTATTTTTAATTTCGTTCTATTCTTATTTTTTCGCCACCTAGACCCCATTGTGGGTCGTTAACTTGTGCCCAGGTGGGCTAATCCCTTAAACTCCTGAAAACAAATGCTGTACTGTATACAGTATTGCAGTGTTTTAATGTGTCTATGAAATGGTTATTCTTAAATTAAACTTCAAAGTTTGTTTCTAATTAGCCCCAAAACTATTGCTGTGTTGTTAATTAGACTACAAAACTATTATTGTTAATGAATTGCAAAACACAAATATTGTTTAGTCCATAAACTATTAGTTTTAGTTTGCAAAATTGTTATTGCTAATTTTTCTACAAAGCTACTATAGTACCTGTACTGTTAATACTGTAACCTAACCAAAGCTATACAGAACTCTTATGGGAATACAAATGAAGCATATGATTGTTATACTTAATTTAGGATTAGAGCATTTGATTGATATATAAACTGTGAGTGGAGCATATGCTTGATATATAAATTATACCTGTAATTGGGTTGACTGTGATATATATGAATAGGATACATAATTGTGATAATACAGATACTGTACAGTACATTGCAAGATAGTGATTACACTAAAAGATCATTGAACTATATAAGATTATAATTAAGCTATATGATAATAAATTTATGTAAAATAATATTATAATTAAGCAATTTGATTGTGATTTTATATCGAATTTTTATTAGATATAGAAAACTATGGTGTTATACAAGATTGTGAATACAGGTATCCTGATACATAATCATTGAGTTATACAAGATAACTTAATAAAGACTATGATTTGGCAATGAAATTGTGGTGTTACACTATATAGAATTAAGTAAGGACATACATTACTGTAATTATTATTACGTTGATGACTTTGGCTGTAAGACTCCATACTCACATCTCATAAATACAAACTGTTTGGTCAGGGCATGAAAGTCCAGTAGGACACATTGTTTACTCTTAGTCCTGAGCCATTATGAATTCCAATGTACAAAAATTTGGGGTAAAATAATATAGATTCTCAGAGATTCGGGCATTCGTCACCCATCCTCAAACCAGGAATGAGAAATTCACGTACTTGAGGTTGAATATCAAAACAGTACTGTACAAATTTTACACCTTATTATATGTTAGTCTGATCTGTTCTTCTGTTCCCAAATAAAAGAAAAGACAATTTACTGGCAATGTGAGACTCTGCTTTGAGATTACAGTACAAACTCAGATCCCAGGCAAATTTCCACCAAGATAATATTGTAATGTATGATCTTTCTTTTATTTTTAATAAACTGTATAATTTACTTTCATTACTGAATTTAATTACCGAAAACCTGACAGGTTAGGTTAGGTTTTGTTGGGTCACATTGGTTAGGTTAAATTAAGTAGGTCAAGTTGGGATGATAAGTTAGGTTAAGTAAAATTGTTAGGTGTGATAAGGTTGCGTTGGTCACTCGGGTATGGTAAAACTGTTTAGGTTTGATTAAATTATGTTGGTTAGGTTAAGTTTGCTTCAATTACGTTGGTTAGGTTAAGCTGAGTTCAGTTAGGTTGGTTAGGTTAAGTTGGGTTCAATTAGATTGGTTAGCAGAGCCATCCCAAGGGCATGGCAACTGGTGCAACTGCCCCAGCGGCCCTTACCTCACCCAACACCAGAATTAGTGACCTTGTTAAGCTGACCTCACCTTACCACCTAGATTCAGGAGACCACCTGAAGGATCAGTGACCAGCACAGTTAGGCAATGCATCTGCTGACATGTGGTGAAAAGTAAAGATTAAGCCACCCAATTTTACCACCTAGACTGAGAACAATGTCATTCTTTACTCTGCTCTCTGTCGAAGGGGAGTGGTCCTCACTCCTCTTCGACAGAGAGCACAGCGGTCACCAGTCATTGTTGTTGAAACTCTGAATCTCCAGTTGTCCGTGATTTGTGTTTGGTGAAATTGTTGATAAACATTATTTTACTATCGTACACAGCCCTCGTTTTGTATTATACCATGGCCAGCAGGGATAGAGACAGATACAGAAAATACATCTCTGGTGCAGAAAAAAGGAAGAGAGGAGAAATCGAAATGTCAAAGAAAGGTTCCCAAGAAAAATATGCTTTCAGAAACACCAGAAACTAGAGCAAAAAAAGGACCTGAGCGACTGTGTTGGTGATAGTGTGGGTCATATTCAAGCTGGTGAAGAGGAGAGTACGGAAAAAAATGCTAAAGCTTTTAAAATGGCCAGTTCTACCAACGCTAATGGGCATGCTGATGAAGATCTATGTGATCCAGCCAACTGGCCACATTTACTGGACACGACGACAATTGATATTTTGGTAGAAAAGCGACCTGTTAAGGTATCTAGTGAAAATAAAGTGTTCCCAAAAATGGTGAAAACTGACACTTCAGAAGACTTTTACCTGCGAAGATTGCCAAATGGGGAAATATTTGAAAGATGTTATAACAAAGTAAATTACATAATACTTGGCACAGTGATAGTGTGATTGGGGTATTTTAACAACACTGTATGTACTATATTACAGTATGTATGTATGTAACTATAAAAAAGATTGACCTTTTATTTCGTGTATATATATATATATATATATATATATATATATATATATATATATATATATATATATATATATATATATATATATATATATATATATATCGTATACTGTATGCAAACGGCCAATTGCCCACACCCCCTAGGGACGGCTCTGTTGTTTAGGTTAAGTTTGGTTAATTAGATTGGTTAGGTTAAGCCGAGTTCAATTAAGTTGGGTTCAATTAGAGTGGCTAGGACACTGGACATGTAGGTGATGGTCCATCTCTCCTAATGCTTCCCAGAGGTGAAGTGCATACTGTCATTCGGACTCATTCCTCCTTTGTCACAGGGTCATGTTCGCGATTGTCAGTTAACTGAGAACTTATACAGAGGGCCACTGGACTGCTGCACTCCAGCATATCTGGTATCAGAATATTGGACAAGGGGTGACTTAGCAAAAGTTTCTAAGCACCTCAAGAGGACATATCTCTAGTAGAATATCCAAATCTGGACCTCATAGATACACACCACACCTTCACATTTAAGCTAAGAATCAATCTAATATGCATACTTCAGAACGAGCACATAATCTCACATTTAACCTAAAATCATTTCGCTTACTAACACCCAACTAATATTCAGCATAACTGAAAACTAACACCTAACTCATAAATGCCAACCCTCACACCTTGGGCGGTACTCCACAATTTTGAAGGGCTTCTCCTGTCACCCGCCTGACAGGTCATTTTCTCCACGTCTCACACCAGCTGCTACACCATGCTAACAGCACAGTAGCCTAGAAGCCACAACAAGCCACCTCCCAGTATATCGAGGAAAACTTTTGCTAATGCTTTGCTGACAGTTCCAAGAATTATACTCGGAAATTGTAATCATAAAATATTTTTGCTCAGAACTATACATACTCGCCAAGATTTCTTAAAACAAAGTCGATATACTAATAATTTCTACCAGTTCCGTATATATTTAAATCTGATTTGTTTGTGGAGATGAATTGCGTATTTATTTTACCTGGTGGTTCCCAGTAAACACTCTTATCACCCCTGGGGTTAAGTTAGGCTGCGTCAGCATTAGGGACAGATGGTTAACCTTCAACATGAAAATTACAGTAAACTG